AATAGATCTGCTTCTAACCAAGATGGAGTTATAGCATTTGAATTTACCTCCTCACTTGAAATAATATTAACCAGACAAAAATTTAAAGCAGTGGTTTTCACAAGACTGGACATGGACAACAAAAGAGATTTCTGAGAGTCAAAAAGGAAGGCGAGTCCGAAGATTGAGAGCTTTTGTGGTCTTGTTAGAGGCGCTAAGCCACAGTGCAAGAATGGTAAACCAGACAGAACCTAGTGGATTCCCTGAGTTTAAGAGACAGCTGAGAGTCTGGGGGGCAAAGGCGATAACACTCTAAAGTTATAGAATTTAGTTAAGAGGAAAATGGGAGATAATTTTTAAAAGGCCCAAATCAAACTCGTACGAATGAAAACTGAGGTGTCAGAGGTAAAAAAAATGCACCAATTAGATTAATAGCAGATTGAACATTGCAAGTGAAATGATTAGAAAACTTGAAGATACAAAAGTAGAAATAATCTGAAATGAGATATAGACATAAAAAATAAGAACTAAAGAAAAAAGAGCTTCGGTGAGCTTTGGTACAATTTCAGACAGCCTAACATGCATGTAGATACAAGGAGGGGGTGTGTATGATAAAGTGTTTGGTCTTTGTCCTGGGTTCCTAGGAGCGTCTAAAACCTTGGAACTTCCCAAGCAGTAGAAGTGTCTCCTTTTCATAGCAGGCTCCGAGATAGTCTTAGGATAGGGGTGTGTCTTGCCATGCCAGAAAGGCCAACCTTGTGATCAGAGGTTGGGGCTTGTAGTCAGGTGCTATGAGCATGACCTCATCACATGGCCATTGATTCAGTTATGCCTACATAAGGAAACCTCAATAAGAAATCAACATGGAGCGGGTGCTGGTGGCTCATGCCTGTAATTCTAGCTATTCAGGATGCAGAGATCAGGAGGATCCTGGTTTGAAGCCAGCCCAGGCAAATAGTTTGTGAGACCCTATCTTGAAAAAACCCTTCATGAAAAAGGGTTGAGCTGGTGGAGTGGCTCAAGGCGAAGGCCCTGAATTCACACCCCAGCACCCCAAAAGAAAAGAAATCAACACGGAAGCTTGATTAAGCTTCCCTGGTGTGATATAAAATGATGTGCTGGGAGAGCGATAGGTTCTGAGAAAACAGCCCAAGTGTCCATCCATGGATAATTGTATATAGAAAATATTCAGCCTTAAAAAAGAAAGAAATACTGTCATGCGTCACAGTATAGATAAACCCAAAGTACATGAAGTGAAATAAACTAGTCACAAAAAGGCAAATACTATATTATTCCACTTACATGAAGAAGATAAACAGTCTATAACTAGTAGAAACAAAATAGAATGGTAGTTTCTAGGGACTGAGGGTGGAGAATTGTTTGGTGGGTGTAGAGTTTCAGTCAAGCAGGACAAGACAGGAGTTCTGGGGAATCTGTTGCTCTACATTGAACTTAGGGTTGAGAATACTATACAGTGTACTTAGAAGTTCGGAGTGGGAATTGCATGTTATGTGCTTTTATTGCCACAGTAAAAGAAAAGGCTAGATGCTTATTGAGTACCAAGGTCATTGTTAAAATAATAACATTGCTAAGGAATTAAAGGGTTCAGTTCATCACGAAGACATAACAATTCTAAATGTTTATGCTCCTAATAGCACCTTTAAAATGCATGTAGCAAAATCTGATAGAACTGCAAGGATAGATTCACAATGATAGTTATGGATGTCCATAAATAATGGATAGAACACGTAGAGAGAAAATCAAGCATGTAAAACACTTGAAAAACAACTCTGTCAACCAACCTGACCTAATTGTATTTATAGTACTCCTAGCCCAACATCAGCAGAATGCACTTCCCTTTTACATGCCTTTTACAGACCTTATTCTTAACTGTAAAAACAAGTCTGAATAAATTTTAAAATATTTGTCATGTATCTCTGACCATATGGAATTAAATTAGAAATCATAACAAATCTATGAAAATTCCCTAGTATTTGATAGTTAACTCATCTAAATAATACGTGGGTCAGGGAAGAAATCAAAAGTGAAATTAGGAAATATTTGGAATTGAATGAAAATGAAAACACAACATATCAGCATTTGTAGAATGCTGCTGAAGCTGTATTTAATAAGTGGGTTTAGCAAGACCATAGAACAGGTGATCAAATACAAAAATCCATCTTCCTCTATACTAGCAACAAGTACTTGGGAGATTTAAGTTTAAAAAACAATGTCATGTATAATGCCACTCCAAAATATGAAATACTTAGAGATGAATCTGAGAAAGGATGTATAAGCCATGTGCACTGAAAATTGCAAAGCGCTGCTGAGACAAATTAAAGATTTATAAATGGAGAGGTGTCTTGTGTATAGGTGGGAATACTTGATATTATTAATTCTACATTAGCTATGACTCCAAGAGCCATAGTTGTATTTCATATACTTTATTTAAATGAACCAAGACATTTGAGAATGAAACCCAAAACAATATAAACAGTAACAAATGAAATGAACTGTATTGCAAATGAACAGCCACATTGAAGAGAATGGAGAAGTAAAGGAAAGAACTAAGCTAAGTAACTTTGGAAACTAGATACCATAAGGCTATATAGACAAAATGCTATAGTCTAGTTAGTAAATTTGTTTCTCCCTGATGTCAGCAGTTCTGTTCTTATGGTAGGATTGAACAAATAATTTAATACATTATATAGGTAAGATCCAAATTTTCTCTTTCAAAATAAGCTTCAAAGGAAAGAAGAAAGGTTAGAATGAATCTTGTGTTAGACTGGAATTATAGTAGTTTACATGATATCGTTTTTAATATATACACAGATATAAAGAGATACAGATGTATATTGCTTTAGGACACATACATTTCCCAGTTCTGCCTGTCAAGAGGGCCTAGGAGCGATAAAACTACTACTAGTGAGCACATGTAGCACCTAGATTTGGTTTCTAAATACCATGCTCCACAAAAGTGATCCAGGACTTCTTGGAGAAAAGGTTAATACAAGGCATGGGACAAGAAAAATACAACATGAACTTCTACTGTGTTGTGATAGCAGAATGTGGAAGTGCCCACAAAGGGACAAGATATAGCAAGAGAACACAGACGCCAACCTGAAGGAGCTCCCTGTAGACAAACTAGATTGATTTAAGCCAAAAATAAATGATAGTATAGAAATTATAACCCATAGAATAAAATACTCATGAGTTTATACTAATATAAGTTGACTAAATGAATACAGATTAGGCAAGGGATGTCTCTTCTATATAGAATTTCAATTAATAAATGTAAAAGGAATGAAGGAAATAAACATTATTGCTAGGTGAATACTTCAATATAAATGTTACAGGCAAGATCCACAAATGAATGCTAATAAAAACCAGCAGGCAAAAGTTCGGGGAGAAATAGGATACTGGCATAGTTTCTAGTATCGTATGCCTGATATTTATCGATTATTAAGGGAAAATAGTACTTTACAGTGGAGAATGTAGCAGACAGACACCACTTGAACCAAATGTGATGAAGGTGAGCATCACCAAACAGAAGACAGTTTGACATACACACCCTGTATGTTGCACTGTTGTGCACTGAAAAGGACACAGCCTCACTCTGTGGTATTCCTGCTGAAAGTATGTAACCTTAATCTACTAATGCAACGTTAGACAAATCCAAGTTGAGAGACATTCTGCAGAATAACCAGAACTAATTAAGAGCATCAAAATCATGAACAACTAGGAAAGGAACTGTCACAGAGTGGAGGAGATCAAAGAGACATAAAAACTAAATGTAGTATCAGATCCTGGAAAAAAAAAGAAGTGGGAAATGGTGGGATTTGAATAAAGTCTGTAGTTTAATACTATATCAATACTCATTTCCTGATTTCAATTGTTGTACTATGGTTTGTGAGTTATGGGAAGCTGGATGAAGGGCACAGAAATTTTCTCTGCAATTCTTTTTTTTTTTCCTTTGGCAACTAATCCGTAAGTCTAGAATCATTTCTAAATAAAAAAAATCAAAGAAATAGGGTACTTGTTTTAGACTATATTGGTAGGGATGTATAACTAACCACTCTAAAGAAATAGATATAACTGCTGTCTGTCCATTGATGACTAGCCAGTTAATAGATTATAACTGTTGGCATTACAGTTGCCTCTGGTTGCTAAATTAACTGTAATTATCTTTAACAAATTCTGTAGACTCAAAATGCTTTAAAATTCTAATTAGAAAATAAAGATGGGAAAAAGGTTAAGAAAGAAAAAGGATGAATTTGATCAAAGTACATTATGCATGAATATAAATATCACAGTGAGACCCCATTGTACAATCAATTTATGCTAATAAATTTTAAAGAAAACAGTATTTTAAGGTTTTAATGTAATAGTCTTTCTTGAGAACAAGATAACAGATTTTAAAATAAATAAAATCCTAAGTTGAATACAAATTTGTCCACGCAATATTTTTCATTGTTGTTTTGAAACAAGGTCTTGCTGTGTAGTCCAGGCTGACCTCAAATTCACAATCCTCCACTTCCTCCTCTCCCTGAGTGATAGAATTGTTTTGACAAAAACAGATGGACATAAACTTGCCTGAATGGCTTTTTTTTTTTCAAAATATTCTCATGCCGCTAGATTAAGTAAGAGAATTATTTTCATTTGCCTGTGTCTGTCATCCTTTTTATGCAAATATCACTTAACACCCCCCACCAAGATCTATGGATGAATTTCCGACATGTCCTGATATGTTAAAATTACAGTATGTGCCTCTAAGAGATCTGATTCACAAATCTTCAAATAGAGTTAAGATAGAAATTTCCCTTATATTTAAGTATATTGTGCATATATGAAATCACACAAAAATATGCTTGTAACTAAATAAAAATATTAAATTTTAAGTGTATTCATTATTAAATATTCTAAAATATAGTATATTTGCTCAGCTGGCAGCTTATTCTGCAGAGAGTTAGGCTTTTTTGTTTTTTTTGTTTGTTAATTTAGTTCTGACTTTATGTTTTTAGGATGTAGTGGACACACATCCAGGCCTTACGTTCCTGAAAGATGCTCCAGAATTCCACTCCCGCTACATCACCACGGTAGGCTGAGTCCTATTCTGCCTTAATAGAACTCCCTAAATCAGCTTTTTATCACTATTTAGTATCCGGGTTTTCTGGTACTTACACAAAGGTAATATGGGCTGTAATGTTTATTTTAAACAGAAAAATGATGTAGAATAAAATCAAATTAATTTTTATTTATATCCATGTTTTGTATGTGCCTGATGCTTAAAAAAAGGTCTCTAGTATATAAAATTAAAGTAATACACTCATTCAGTATGATCTTTTGTGGTCTTACGAGATATACTCTTGCTCTCTTTTAAATATTGATACTCGGTTGATTGTTAGCATTTCAAAATAATACTGAAAATAGTTTCCAGCAGCTTGTGTTTAGTACATTAAAGTTAGAATAAGAAATAATGAGTAGTTTGTGTGTAAACAGAAAACAAGTCATGAGTAACTTGATTGCAACACACAGTTTTGTGAGGTGCTCTTGATCAGGCACAGGAGGGCACCGCCATGAGTGTGGCGCACCGGCCTGCAGTGCTCAGGACAACCATCTCGTGCATACTTTGCCCTAGTTCCAGATTGTTTTGGGGGACATTCCAGACATGAGCCCTAGCAGACACATTCGAGATGCTCAACTAAACAGGGCTGCTTTTCTGAGGAGCACCATTGTCATTTTGAGAGCACAGTTCTTGCATGCAGCAAACTGATACAGTTTTGTTTTTGTTTTTCTTTTTTCTCTTAGAGGAACTTCATTCTTTGCTTTTCCGTTGGCTCTCTTTTGCCATAAATTTGTACAATTTATCTGAGCCTGAAGTTGTCACTGTCAATCTAAGACTGGCTCTGAAGTTATTTTTACTCATTAACCACAACACCGTACTAACTTATCTCCACCACAATCACTCTGGCTCCATCTCTCTTGTTTCTCACCTGAATTATTTCTAATTGGTCTTCTGGCTTCTACCTTCATTTCACTGTAGTCCAGTCTCCGCAAAGCAAAGAGTAACCCGGTGAATATGGTGCAAATACTGTTTACACATGTCTGTAAATGTAAAAATGCTACCTGTTGAACCTATTCCAGGAATGGGGGGGGGGGACGTGATAAAGGAGAGCAATGGAGGGGGTGAATTCAAGTATGATATATTTGATACATTGTAAGAACTTTTGTAAATGTCACAGAGTACCTCCACCCAGCACAACAATAAAAAACAAAATCTAAGTCAAATCATGTCTCACTCCTCTTCTTAAACCTTCCATAGTTTCCCATCTCACTTGGAATAAAAGACACATTAACTCTGCCTGCAATCCCAAAGGAAATTATGTGCTCTGAGGTAAAACTTAGGGCACATTAACAGCATAATTGAGAAACAAAGACTTGGAAAATGGGGCTGGTAGAGTGGCTCAAGCAGTAAGAGTGCCTGCCTAGCAAGCCTGAGGCCCTGAATTCAAACCCCAGTTCAGGAAAAAAATAAAAAAGAGTTGGAAAAGGCAGGCATGCACCTATAATGCCAGCTATTCCATAGGCTAAAACAGGAAAAATTTGGGACCAGCCTGGGCTACATAGCAAAATTGTGTCTCAAAAAAAAAGTCAGGAAAGACCTCAGAAATAATAAAGTCCAACCTTCTACAAATTCAGAAAATTCTCTCTAAAGAGGAACTTCTTATTAGAATTCATTCTCAGAAAATATGTTAATGAACAGAAAAGTAAATCATTATTGTTATTCTTTTTAATTTGCTGTTTGTTGAAGTACCTGAACCTATAATGACCTGTAGTCATCCACCAAGTGGTCCCCAGGAAGTTTTGTGATTTTAAAAGGAAAGGACAGGGCTGGCAAAGTGGCTCAAGTGGTAGAGCATCTGCCTAACAGGTTAGAGGCCCTGAGTTCAAACTCTACTTATGATCAAAAAAATTTTTAAAAAAAGGAAAGGACATGAAACATTTTTTTCATGTATAGTTCACATTTTCCAAGACATTCTATCATCTTAATAATTGTCAAACAAAAAGAACCATACCAGTAATCAGTAGGATGCAGTTAACTATCACTGCTGTCAAGTTTTCCATAACATTTGCATGTTGTAAAGTTTACACTTTCTTAGTATTATGCTGCTTTATCTCCAGTCCACAAAAGTGAATCCACTACTCAGAATTTGGCATTAAATTATAAAATACTTTTGATGAAATAATGGTAATATAGCAACTCAAAACAGCATCATAACTGAAATAGCGAACAAGACTCGTTTGGGAATATAGAATGTAAATCTGTATGCACTGAGATAAGTGAATAGCTGTTACTGTGATAGTCTGATGCTATTACCCAAAAGAGAAAAGCACAAATAAAAAGCATAGCAATGAAGGTCTGGAGATGTAGCTCAGTGGCAGAGCACTTGCCTGCTGTGTGCAAGGCCCTGCTTGGATCCCAGCACAGACAGGAAAAATATTCTTTGCTAATGCATATTTGAAAACAGTGTTTTGACTTGGTTATCTGTTCTCCTCAATGCCTTTTCTATTAGAATTCTTAGTCAAATAATAGTAAGAAGTCATTGAAACTTTTGCATTATTTCAGAAATACAATGAGTTTTCTAGAACAAATGCAAAACATGGTCTTCTAATGTGAAATTGATATGAAAGTACTTGACTAAAACATGATTTTCTACCTTTCCCATGGCAAAAATCAGATAAGCTCATACTATTTCTAAGAAGATCAGCCTAAGAATTAATGACAAATATCTCAGAAAAGCAAAATCATTTTATTTTATGACCCTAATGAAGTAATATAATCTCAGGGGCATACAGTGTAGAATGATTAATATACAGGTTGACATCTCTAGTACAGAAATCCAAAATGTTCCAAAATCCTAAACTGAGCTTTGACACTCAAAAAATACCTGGATTTTGGAACATTACAGATTATGGATGCTCAACCAATAAAGTCTATGCAAATATTCCAAAATCCAGAACACTCTGAAATATGAAACTCTTGTAGTATTATCACTTGGATAAAGGTACTCAACCTGAATTACATTTGCATGTTAGAGTACCATATTAGTATACTTTACAGTTGAAAGAAACCACCTCACAGAATATCACTCAAATATTAGCTCATACATGGCATGTATATGAGGAAGAAAAACCAGACAACTTTTATTTTCTAATTATCTTTCGTTTATTTGGGTAACTATTTTATTAGCAGCTTTTAGACTGGAAAGTCAGGGTACCAGCTAAATAAGAGATTGCACTAAAAGTCAATTCATAGTGTTCATTTCCCAAAATTGAGAAATAAGCCTCTAATAGTGAGCAAAAATGAATTGAGTTTGCAGTTTTGCCTGGCAGATAGAGATTGTCAGTAAATACAGTGCTGTGCTTATCCATACCAACATATGCCAACTTCTGAGGGAATGGTGCTCACATGAGTTTTGTAAATATGCAGTGAGGTTTAAAAAATGTCTTTATGGCACTGATGCTGGCAGTAAAGATATTTTTGTGGCTTACTCAGATGGTGTCTTAGTGATGTGTGCAGTGTCTTTTTTCGCAGTACTGGGGCTTGAACTCAGGGCCTTCACCTGAGGCAGTCTTCCAGCCCTATTTTTTTGTGAAGGGTTTTTTTTGAGATAGGGGTTCAAGAACTATTTTCCCAGGCTGGCTTTGAACTGCTATACTCCAAATCCCTGCCTCCTGAGTAGCTAGGATTACAGGCGTGAGCCACTGGTGCCCAGCATGTTCAGTATCTTAATTGGCCTGAATTCATCACTTTAGGCTGAAATGCCAGAATTATAATTATTGAGGACAAGGAACTGATGTCCCTGAGATGACCAAACTGTGAACACTGCTCATCACAGAGAGTTTTTTTTTTTGTTGTTGTTGTTTTTTGTCAGCACTGGGGTTTGAACTTATGCTTGCTAAGCAGTCACTCTTACCACTTGAGCCACACCACCGGCCCCATCGAGAGCTTCTTAATTCCTTTTGCTTTTCTCTCAACAGAGAAAGAGATCACTTTTATTAGGTACATTTTTACTTGTCCAAATTCTACAGAAGACCATGAAGATATTTCAGAGTCAAGCTAACCAAAGAATGGATCAGTAATCTATTCACCACTCCTCACCAAGAGGAAGAATCAGACTTCTAGTGTTTCAATGTGTTCATCTGCATTTGTCATCTACACTGAAAAAGTCTTCGTAACTTCTTTGTCTACATTTAATCTAGTTTCCAAAATGGTATGACAGCCTGGTGTGGTAGTTTGTGCCTGTAATCCCATTTACTTAGTAGGCAGAAATCACAGTTGAAGGCCAACCCAGGTAGAAAGTTATTGAGACCCCTATCTTAAAAAAAAAAAAAAAAAAAAAAGGGTGTGTGTGTGTGTGTGTTGCAATGTCTGTCTATAATCCCAGCTACTCTGGGAGGCATAAGTAGGAGGATCTCAGTCCAGGCTGGCCTGGGCAAAATATGTGAGACCCTATCTGAAAAATAACTAAAGCAACAAGAATTGGGGGGCATGCCTTAAGTGGTAGAGCACCTGCCTAACAAGTACAAGGCCCTGAATTCAAATTCGAATACTGAAAGAAAAAAAAACTATGATATCGCTGCTAAACACTTCCATCACTACTGGCCTATATTTTAGTTTCCGTTTTAATAGATGTAAAGAAGGAAGATGACTGACTTATGATTTAGCTTGTCTATCAAGTTGACTAGATCACTTAGTGAAAGAGTGTCAGTTTCATTCCTCTCACAGGTAGTAAATGATTATTCTATTATTTATTTTTAAGTATTTTTAAACTCTGATTAATGTTTGCTTATCTAAAAATGGTAGTCCCAAAGTTTTTTAAAAAAAAGAAAAAAAAAAGCATAATTAATGTAAAGCTAGCAGTCTATGCTTTCACCACTAGATGGTAGCCCTACCTCAGTAATCCAAAACGCTGACTCAGTGCTGTGGAAACAGCAAGTGCACAGACAGAAAGTGGAGGAGCCACTGAACAGAAGAATGGAATACGGAACCTACATTGTCTTATAGTGTCACATAATCAGGTTAGGAGAAGCTAGAGCAGAAAATTCCTAGCAAAATTCTATCAAAAAGAACAAAAAAGAAGAGAAAAACGTGAAAATGAACACCGAGTTTATAGTTGTGTATGTAGCACATTACTTCCTTAAATAACAAAATATTTGTGTTTATAACTGGAGATTTTAGATAGGAAACAGATTTTAAGTAAAATTTATATTTAAAATAAAAAAATGAGGACAAAAATCTAATGTTTAACAAGAAAAATCTGGTATGTGAATTGAAATTGACTTTAATTTGAAAGGGGGATGTGGAATTATGATAAATAAGATCATTAATGTTTATTTTCTTATATATAATTCCTGTGTCAAAAATCCTCCATCTTTTTTACATGAGCTGCCAAGCTCTTTCTTAGTAAGACACAGAGTCTGAGGGGTTGTAGCCAGTAGAGAAATGAAGAACCAGCTTGTACTGGCTTCCACCTAGTACAAGAATCCTGTGAACTTGAACCTCAGTACTTGTGGTTAAAAAAAAAAACCTCTTACCTTTATACAAACTTTGTTGCTTCATAGGGTAATTTTAGGAAACTGTTCCTTAAATTGAAGCATTTGAGTATAAGGGCACATCTGTCCAGTGGTTCTGTCCAAAACAGAACAAGGTAGCTGCTGCTTCTATACTGTTGTCAGCCATTGAGATCATGATCACATTTCCATACTAGCCTTGTGTTTTCCTCAGGATTAAATATTGCCACATTGGTAGTATTTTCTACAATCATTTTGAATATCCTTCCCTATTTTATGTTTTTTGCACATTTTATTTGCCTTCTATCTGTAAATCATATGGATTTACATAAAATACTAATTAGTGACCTTTCTTGTTAGTTGACAAACATATGCTATTTAAAACTTAAGAATAGAGTTGTTCAGATAGCTATGAAACCAACCCATGCTTCTCCATCACAAAGATAACACAAAATCCTTTGTTACACAGCTTCCCAAAGACATTATTTTGTCAAGCAGATATTGATTACCTGAAACATGCAAGGCACCAGATCAGACACTGAAAGGAAAGTCAAAAAGACAGGTTTCTCTGTAGAGTTTGGAGTTGATGACCGCCAGGTATACCAGGATTAGACTGTAGCCATGGAGTGCCAGAAGGAAGCCGAGGGGCAGCCGCTGGCCTGAAGCATCCTACAAAGTGTGGTGTTGGAGCTCCATTTGGAAGCCCAGATAGCAGGAGTGGGTCAGGAAGTGATAAGCAGGTGCAGTTGGACCTCAATTCTGATACCAGTTTCCATTTTATTGCAAATTATTCTGTTGAACAGTCCAGAAGCAGAATGGTGGCCCTACTCTTTGGAAAGATGTCCAAATGTCTTTCCTTCTGTGTTGTTCTTATATCAAAACAACTTGAAAAGGAGATCTAGGGCTGGTGACATGGCTCAAGTGGTAGAGCACTTGCCTAGCAAGTACAAGGCCCTGAATTCAAACCCCAGTACCACAAAAAAAAAAAAAAAAAAAAGGAAAGAAGGAAGGAAGAAAAGGGGATTGATCTAACCTCTTTAATGATGAAACCACCAGGGATTACAGGATTTCTATATTTCTACATACCAAAATAAAAGCCAAGTTGCTGAATGAGGTGGTGTACCCAGCACTCAGGAGGAAGAGGCAGGAAGATCCTAAGTTTGAGGCCACCTGGACTACCTGGGGAGACCCTGTCTCAAAATAAACAAAGAAAAGCCAGAGTACCAAAAAAGCTGACTGAATTGCTTTAGTCATCACTGCTTCCTTTTAAAGAAAAAAATAGTAGTGGCAAAGGAAAATAAGTACATAGGAATAACCACAGGTAAAATTGTTAAGAATACATCGTGTCCTTGTACCTCCAGGATTACAGCCTCTGTCTTCATATCCACTCCACCCCCACCCCATACTGCAGCATACACATCTCCAGTCTAGACACATTCGCTTCCTGTCTCCTCCTCATCCTATCTGGTCTTTTCCAGAGTTTCACTTCTGCCAAATTCACTAAAACACGGGCTGATAACAGAGGTGTTTATGCCTAAATAAAGGTCGTGTATACTTTTATCCCAGATGAGTTTCATAGAGTCTAGAAAACCAAGAGTCTTCAAGTTTCCAATGAATAATGCTTTAATCATCAAAATAAGGCTCTCTTGAATCATATCACCTTGACAGCCATTTTTCTGACTGGCTAATTAATCATTAAACCAACTCAGCAGATAGTTCCACTCCCATTTACCTTCCCAAAATAACCAGTCCACTAAGGACTACTTGAATTGGCACCCCTATATAATGAGAGGTAAACAAAGGAAGTGATATGTAGGCAGCTGGAATGAAGATGAGAGCAGAGAACTTTTTCTGTTTAAAACTGTAGAGGAAGATTCAAAATACATAGGTGTAGGATTAAAATACAGTGTTATTTTTCACTAGGAATTAAGCTTAACGTCAAAAAGTCAACAAACATTTAAACTGACTCCAGATAAACTGATTACAAGGCCTTTGGTAAAGTAATAGAGATCTGTAATGTTTTTAATTGGTTTTGTTTTCTTTTGGAACCAGGTTATTCAGAGAATATTCTACACAGTCAACAGATCTTGGACTGGAAAGATTACTTCAACAGAGATAAGAAAAAGCAACTTTTTGCAAGTATGCTTCTCATATAAACATATAAAAAGTAATTTAAATAATTTTATTTAACAAATAATTGAGTGCTTATTCTATGCAAAGCACTGTCACTACTTTCAGTCATTAAGCATTTATCAGATACCCAGAATGAGACACCAAGATAGGGAAGGGATCTCTACCTCTGGGCATGTACTGTGGAGCAAGAGAGAAGTGCACAGCCAGCCATACCTAGCTTGGTACCTTCCACAGGCATGTATAAAAGGTACAGTAGACTCACAGAAGGACTAGCATATGATCTTGACCTTAGAGGATATTAGAAGTTTACCAAAATAAAAAAATATTAGTAAAAGAGGGATTTCAGACAGAAGCTGCAGCATAAGCAAAAGCCAGAAGCATGAAAGTGTCATGTTCAAGAATTGCCAGTTTCAAGTGGCCAAAGGCTCCTGGGACCAGAGATGAGGATGGAAGGGTGTGCTGGGACCAGATTGGGAAGAGTCTTGCAAAAGAAAAGGAAGAATATGGACTCGATTGATTCAGCAATGACTACCCAACTGCTGCTGAATAAAAGTACTAAAAATTCCTTTTAAGAAATAATGGATTTCATTCAGTTACTTACTTTATCAAATGAGAGAGGACTTATTAACCACTAGTGGGAGCCTTTTACTGAAGTAATCCTCATGCTTGATTGTTTAAGCTTCTGTAAACCTAGAGAAAGTAAAATTTTTTTTTACACTTGAAATAAAAATGTTTTATTTTAAATGAACTCATACTAAATGAACCTTAGGCTAATAACACAACCTATTACTCTTTATTTTTTCCTATTTTCATCTGAGATAAAGTAATGAAATCATGGTAAAATTAGCAGTTCATGATCGATACGCAAACATTGTTATTCTAAAGTGAACAGTCATCATCACAGTTGTTGTTGGTATTTATTGAACACCTGGTGCCTGCCTGGGCAGGTAGTAGCGATTTCATAACACCTCAAGAGTGATGATAATCCCTCACATTCCTGAAATAGATTATCTGTCATTGATAGCTTTTGAATTATTATTATTATAATCAATATTTTTACTAATGATAAAACTTGAGACTCAGATGTAGTTGAGTAACATAACAAACACACACAGGCACAAGCATTATGCCCTGACTTCAAAATCCAATAGCACTAAAAAAAAAAAACATGCCCACAGAAGTAGGTTCCTGAACTGAAAGTAGAACTCCACTGTTTGCTTGCTAGGACATGATCTGTTTCCCCTATCTCTTCTTCTCTACTCCTCTTCTTAGGCTTTATCTTAGTATGTGAACAAAAACTCACAAAACACTCCAAGACTGTGAACACATCTAGAGTAATGAATAAGCAGACATCACTGTTTCACTCTTCACACTGCCCTTTCATTCCCTTTCCCAGAGGAAGCCCATACTTTCTATAGTTTTATTTCCTCATAAATGTATACTTGTATTATACAGTTTTGTTTTGTATGGATACTATTTTGAGGGGTTTTTAAAAAAATATATGGCTCATCCTTAGAATTGTGTTGTTTTTTTCACCTAACAGTGTGTTGGGGTTCTTTTTATTTCCATTAATATACAACTATCTCATTCTTTTAAACACTGCATAATCAGTTATGTGGTTGTACTGCAAGTAATTGCATATTCCTCTGTTAATGTTCAGGTCATTTCATATTTTCTCAACTATAATGATATAGCAAACATCCTCTTGAGTGTATATGAGTAAGAATTTCTATAGAGGGAAAATTCTAGATCAAATGGTATGTGCAGTTTTAATTCAAGTTACCCTTTTAAAAGTCTGATTCAGGTGCCTCGTTAGCGTTGTAGGTAGGGTGTCACTCTCATAAAAGTCTGATTCATACTTTGACTTTCACACTTACCAGCAAAAGGAATTAATCTCCTTTATTTTATGAGAATCTGGTGGGTGAAATGATAGCTACTTGCTTCTAAAGACTGGTTTTATTGAAAGTATTCTGCTTCATGCACATTAAAAGGCATCTTATTAAAGAATTGTTGTAAGCAAACAGAAGAAAGACTATTTTACCACTTTAGTACAATTATATCATTTTTGTTTGTGTTCTTCTAGTTTCATACACATAGAGTTTAGGATTTTTACATAGTTATTGGGTTGTGCAGTCTTGTATCCTGTATTTTGCAGGATACAAAGGAAAACCACCTCTTGGTTTTCCTTTGTTTCTGTAAAGATGATAATTTTTGCTGACTGCGTAATCTTTCCTTGAGCAGATTTACCATAAATTAATAACTTATGTTGTTGTTTTCAGTTTGCCAAACCATACATTTGGTTTCCCAATGTATATATTTTTAAAATAATTTTTATCAGAGTGATACATTTTATTATATAGTTCTCTCTGTCCCTTATATCTTTCACCTTGAATTCCACTTACTCCCTATTAATATTGATGCATGTTTTCCTTTATGTTAATTTTTTTTTTTTGGGTGGTACTAGGGTTTAAACTTGGGACTTCGGACTTGCTAAGCAAGTGCTCTACTGCTTGTGCTATATACCTCTAGCCCAGAAATATTTCTTAAATACAACATGTACCTAGATCTGTTTGGAGAGAAGGGCTTGTTTTTATATGCAATCAAAAAACTTATGCTGGACTGTGGCTCAAGCAGTAAAATGCCTGCCTCACAAGCATGAAGCCCTGATTTCAAACACAAAACTACCAAAAAAACAAATCTTCTAGTAGGGGGATTTAGCTCATATATCTTTATTTCTGTTTATTTCCTTAAGGTTTCTTTCATCTTTCTAAATCTCTCATTTCTGAAAATGTCTTCATTTATTCACTTATGTGATAATTTGACTGACTATAGAACAGTGGACTCAAAAATCACTGGTTCTGGTGGTTTTTTTAAATGGATATTCAGTGAGTCAGGGAAGAACCAGATTTACATTCAGCTCAGGGCCATGTAGCCCCACCCACCATGCTTCTTCTGTGCCAGGCCATCTGATGTGTTAGCACCGTATTTTTTGTGGTAAAGTTGATCTCATTGCAAAATTACACAATATGTGGATGCCCACTCTTCTTAATGTTGCTCACATAACTTTGAATATTTAAGAGCAGTATTAGTTTCTGGCCATGTAATTAAGGCTGTCATCTAATTTTTTGTGCTTGCCAGAACCTATGACAAGCTGCAGTCCCCTTGGTGATAGTCTTTCCCTTCCTCTGCTTTGTTGTTGTTTTGGTGGTACTGGAATTTGAACTCACAGCTTCTTGCTTGTTAGGTAGGTACTCTATAGCTTGAGACACACCTCCAGCCTCCCTTCCCTTGCTTTTAGATCCTCCACAGTAGCTAACCTTTTGCTATGTATATCATAGAACTCAGTAAGTGCTTATAGATGAATCGCTTGATTAAAGGTAGTAACAGGTTGCCTATTAAAAAGTTCCTGGTTTGATGTCAAAAACAAATTTTTAAATTCAACTTAAAACAAAAATTCACTAGTCTCTTCAATGGCCAAACCTGGTTTTTCATAATTTAAAAATTAATTCTTTTATTGATACCATTTCAGACTCTAGCCCTTTTGGAAGAAGAGGAAGATATAAACCAAATCACAGATTACTTCTCCTATGAACATTTCTATGTTATTTACTGTAAATTCTGGGAACTAGATAGTGATCATGACCTGTACATCAGCCAGGCCGATCTATCCCGATACAATGACCAGGGTGAGTGATTCTATAGATGTTAAGACTTAACCATATTAAAGAATTAAGTAAATTACCCTGTCATTACAAGAAATTTCATTTCTTAAATTCTGTATCTAATTAAGTCTCTGTATAGGCCAAGAGTTTTTAAATGGGGATGAGAAAAAATAATTTTGATTTAGAGCTCAGAGAAGGGGTTTGGAGGTAAGTAAGCAATCAGTATTAGTTTTGATGAAGCAGCAAGTCTTTGTAGTGTGTATTTTTAAGATCCACATTTGTAAAGCTATTTGAAAGAGAATATGCATACACCTTTAATTTTCTCACTTAACATTATTTATATAAAAAGCCAAGAATGAAAATAATGTTTCTACCTTGCCAAATTTTGTTTTCAAGGACTCATAAAAACTTAGTCTTAGAATTTGATAACAGAAAAATATTTCTGTGAGGATGAGTTATATGTCCTTTCTTTTGTTTAAAAAATTACCTATTACATGATATCCTTTTTGGTTTAGTTTGCCCATAGTAAACCTAGAACCCATTGTCTACTGGTTTAATATCCTTAACTAAGCACCAAAATAATATAATGAGTTATTCCTCTCTCATAAGATTGTTTCTGTTCTAGCCTTCAATGTAGTCTCAGCATTTATTAAATCAGGGTTTGTCTTAAGTAAATGCATTGAATTTTTTTATTTGGTTTATTTATGACTAATGGTGTCATATGACAAAGCTGATTATATATGATGTCAACCTTCATAGAGCTTTGCATATCTAAGAAACAGAATTCTTGAACCAGACATGGTGGCACGTGCCTATAGTCCCAGCTGCTTGGGAAGGTGAGGCAGAGGATTGTTGGAGCTCAGTAGTCTGAGGCTAGTCTGGGCAACATAGAAAGATCTCACCTCAAAAAAAAAAAAAGAAAAGGGGAGTGTGGAGGCATGGTTTAAGTGATAGAGCTCTTGCCTAGCAAACACAAGGCCCTGAGTTCAAACCCCAGTACCACAAAGAAGGAAGGCAAGGAGAAAGGATGGGAGGAAGCATAGTTACAGAACTCAGATTCTCAGACATCAAGGAGAAATACTCAAATGTACTTATTTAATAAACACACTAGTATGGTTACCTCCCTTCAAGTACTCATCACTTTCCTGCCACTAAGATAGTGTAAAGACTAATATATTCACGAGGGCACCAGTCACCCTAATTATTAGCAATGTACTTTCTTGTTCCCCATGAACAGACTGTCTCTGAGCCAGCCTCTAGAGGTAATGCACAGTCCTAGGAGCTGTGAAGTGCTCTTTCCAGCTTACATAACCATAATGGCCATCAAGTGCCTGACTACCCATATACTACATAGCCACTCAAGACCTATGTTAACGGGAGGAAGTCCAGAAAAATGGGCACCTCAGCCTCAGTAAAACAAGGGCCCACCAACTTCTACATAACTGTCCACTCACCAAATTCCACCTACTGTGACAACATATGGAATAACATGATCTTCAGTGTTAGGAGTTAAACCTTCCAAAGCTGTAAAAGCGTTTTTAAAAAGAGGTCAATTTTGGAATTAAATATACTTGCTTTTCCTAGGTAAATCTTTTTTTCTATCTAGTTCAAATTATTAACCCCATAAAGCAATGCTCAACAAGTATAGACACTTTTTAAGTGTCGGCATGTGGCCAGGTGTAGCTATCCTGACACACTGATTTATCTTTACGTTGAGTCTTCCTAACTCCATGGTGAATTAGATGCCAATTCCTTTGCTGGTCCTGAAATTTCAGTGTGCATGTTATTGCTTGGAGTGCTTGTTAAAAGAACAAGTTTGAGGTCCTTAGTCATTTCCCTTTTTTAAAAAAACTAATGCCTTGGGCTATTTTGAATCTACAATGAGGGACACTGGTATGGGTTTTCTAGGATCTGTCATCAAAAAGTCATATACTACCTTAAGATACAATTGTCTCTCTCTCTAAATAAAACTTTCTGATGCAACGTCTAAAAATGTTATGTTATAGCCTAGTCTCTTACAAAATATGAATGTAAGAAAAGTATGTTTATGGTGTGTTTTGGTATGTTTTCTAAAAGATACCAAATGTTTCTGCTTGAAACATTCTCCATTGTTCTTACTTTGTTTCATTTTACCTTGTTTTAGGAGCTGCACAATGAGTTCCTCACCTTGAATTTTATGCTAGGATAAAATTTGTCTTGTTTTAGAGGAAAATTTGCCTCATCCCTTTTTTTGGCAGTACTGAGGTTTGAACTTAGGGCCTCATACTTGCTAGGTAGGCACTCTGTCACTCCACCAGCCCGTTTTTGTGTTGGGTATTTCTGAGATAGGGTCTTAGGAACTGTTTCCCCAGGCTAACCTCAAACTGTGATCCTCCTCATCTCTACCTCCTGAGTAGCTAGGATTATAGGTGTGTATCACTGGCACCCATCAATTTGTCTCATTTTTATTGGATAACAAGGTCAATACAAATTCTGTATATATTTGTCTTCTCAGGATTTTCAGGATTAATTTAGACATATATAAACATGTCTCAAATGTCAGGCAAATTCATTTGCTTATTTTAAGTTGCTGATTCATAGTTATAAAGCTATTTCATTCTTCTAAAAAGTGTAAATTATACATAAGAAAGAATTTAATTTCTGGTATTTTCTTTTTTATAGTTTTTACATTTATTCACTTGTGTATACATTGTTTGGACCCTTTCCCCTCAATCCCCCCACCCTGTAATTGCTGGTTTTTTCATCATGACCAATTGTCATGGTTTAGCTTGTAGCAAATGAAAATAAATTTGCCGTAAGTATTGCCTGTAGAGAGTATATTTCTAACTTTGTAACTTCTTGTTTACAATGTAGCTTCATCAAACAGAATTATTGAAAGGATATTCTCTGGGGCAGTAACAAGGTAAGAAAAAGTTTAAAAACTGAGTTTCAAAATGAACTATAAGTAATACCATAGCAGTCTTATTTTAGCAAGGCTTTCTGCATAATTTAGCAGTGCTACTGAGTCAAATTATATCCTACACAACATGGCTTAATACCAGGCAGTAATTATTTGATATAAGTATTAGTCCTACATACAAACACAAGTAACAATATTTGATCCCATTGAATATTTGCATTCCAATAAGAAACCAGATTTCTTCACATTTGCAAATGCCTTTTAATGTTACCCTGTAGGCCTTTAGAAACAGACTAGGCCACAGAAGGACTGCACTTTATGGAAGTACCCAGCATAAAAAGGATGTTATTTTATTTCTTAATTGCTTAGGAAATTTTATAACCATGTGTTTTGTTCAGAGGAAAAACAGTACAGAAAGAGGGAAGAATGAGCTATGCAGATTTTGTTTGGTTTTTGATCTCCGAGGAAGACAAACGGAACCCCACCAGGTATGGCTTCTAAATTTTCTTTGCCAGTGTGCAGTTTAATACATGCGCAAAGCTTGTAAAAATCATGATGCACACCTAGTGAGACTGACTCAGCCTAAGGAACTAAGATGAGTTAGACTCAGTCTCTTCCCTCTTGGGGCACTCACTCTAGGAAAGGAAACAGAATGTACGGCCATGGCACATCAGGAGAAGTGCTGTTACCGTAGAAACAAAGAGGAAGTGACATGGAGCCTGGCCTGGGAAGAGAAACAGGATCAGTAGTCATTCACACAGAATGTGGGAATAGAGCCTCTGAATTTACTTCTCTCAGGATCTTAAATGGCACGGCAGTGTATTAGAGAAGGAGAGTAAAGCAGACTGTAGGTTACTAGTGTATAATAAGATCACGTCCTTACTATGCCAGTTGGAACCATCTCTCCCTTTCCTTCGCTCTCAGACACACCTCGTTTGAAGTTGTGGGTTTACATATCTCTTTCTCTTCACTAGTGTGTCTCTTGTTTAAGCCAACAACACTAGGTCCCTGTCTTTTTTATCCCTTGCTTGTGTAACACAGTGTCCTGCATGTAGTTGGTGCTCAGTACCAAGGGAGGCAAGAGATGGAGTCCTTGATGCTGTCAGCAAGTATAACCGAATCATAAAAGCTACCTAAATGTTGGATACATTGCTTATAAATTATTGAAATATAAATAAAAATAAGCTATTTTAGAGCAGCTTCTTACAATTTTAAATAACTTTGCTATTTCAAATGTAATAATTATGGTCTGTTATAGTTAACTTAGATAACATGTATGAGCAGAAGAAAATAAATTTTAATACTAGTAATTTTAACAACCAGAAAAAATGTATTAAAAGATGATATACATTATATACTCTTTTCATATATACTTTTACATATTATTTGCACTTTAAGATTATTTTCATTGGACTGAATCGTTTTTTATTTTTGGGTTTTGTTGAGATAGGGGTCTCACTGTGTTGTACAGGATAATAATCTCAACTGTTTGACTCAAGCCATCCTCCTGCCTCAGCCTCCAGAATAGCAGGGACTATAGACATTTACCACCATCCCCAGTACTGCACTAAGTCTTAATTGCCATACACTCCAAATTTTTCATGGAATATTCCTAAATATCCTTTAATAATTATAGCTGAATAGCTGAGACATATACTATTTTTTTCATAGAACAGATTCCCAGAAAAAAGAAATTCTAAGTTAAAGGGGATAAGAATTTTTTTAAAAAGAAAAGTGATATTTTTATTACTTTATTAACAAAGTAATGAGCATATTTCTTAAAATCCTTACCAACACTAGGTATTTTCCTATGAAAAATATTTTCTAATTTGATTACTTAAAAATTCACTATCAGTACCCAGGCAGTTGTTGTTCATACCTGTAATTCTAGCTACTCAGGAAGCGGAGATCAGGAGGATTGAGGTTCAAAGCCATCTTGAGCAAATAGTCCTCGAGACCCTATCTCAAAAATACCCTTTACAAAAAAAAGGGGTGGTGGAGTGCCTCAAGTGGTACAGTGTCTGCCTAGCAAGTGAGAAGCCTTGAGTTCAAACCCCAGTACCATCAAAAAAAAAAAAGAAAAAAAGAAGAAATTCACTATCGAGCTGGGTACAGTGGTTCACACCTGTAATACCAGATACTTGAAAGATATCAAGAGGATCACAGTTCAGTGCCATCTTGGGCCTTGATGGAGTCAAGAGACATGATAAATACAGTACATATGAGACTGTTGCCAGCATAAATGGCATACTGTTTTCCAAAAACCTTTTCATTCGTGATACCCTTAAAGTAATTATAAAAAGTATAGTACAAGCCAGGTGCTGGTGGCTCATGCCTATAATTGTAGCTACTCTGGAAGTGAAGATCAGGAGGATAGCAGTTCAAGGTCAACCCCAAGCAAAAAGTTCATGAGACCCCCCATCTGAGCCAATAATGGGCTTGGTGGTGCATGCCTGTCATCTAAACTATAGTGGGGAAGCATAAACAGAAGGATCTCAGTCCAGTAGCCTGGGCAAAAAACAAGACCCTGTCTCAAAAATAACTCCTGCCTAACAAGCACAAGGCACTCAGTTCAATCCCCAGTACCACCAAAAAAATAAAAAAGAATAGTAAATACATAAACCAACCAGTAACATGGTCATTTATTAGCAAGTATATACTTTGTCTTCTATTTTTATCCAACTGGCAGTGTGGTAGGTTTGCTTGCACCAGCATCACCTCAAACAGTAGTAATGCATTGTGTTACAACCTCATGGTGGTTACTATGTCACTAAATTGTAGGAATTTCTTGGCTCAGTTACCTTTTCTGAGACCCACCATTACATGTATGTTCCATCATTGACCAAAACATCACTAGGCAGTGTATGACTATATTTATTTCATTATTAGTGACTGATCTTTTTTATTTTTTGACTCATTTCTGTTGGATTCATTTTTAAAGGTTTATTATTTTATCAAAAATACACTATTAAGTATTACAAATTATAAAATTCATGTAACCAAAAACCTTCATATAAAACTCATTCATAATTTCCTGACCCATATATCTGGTATATATTCTTCCACTGTGCCCTCCTCTCCAGCCTTTTCTCCTTTTTTCTCTCCCTTCCTCCCCACCCCATATAATAGGGTAAGATAAATGAGGTCATACTAAAGCTAGTTTTGTACACATTTTTTACACATAGTTAAGTCCATGCCATCACTGTGTATGTCATTTTTCATTAATGCATTGTTTTGAAGGCCTGGGGCTGTATCTGTCAGATCTAAATTTCCAAAGATCTAAAGGTGGTGCATTTTTTCCTTTTCTAGTCCTTCTGGTGCTCTGTTAACCTCCTAGTCTCAGTCTTTCATTTTTCCTTAATTATGGAAAAGCTTTCCTCACATATTTCCCATCCATGTTTTCCTGTTTCTGGAACTTCTTTTATCTCATAAGAACAAATAAAGAGAATCAGAAATGATCATTAAGATAGTTAAAGTACCAAATTCTGTGAATACACACTTCTCTCATCTTTTTTAAAAATACATAAAATTGTAGAAAATAATAATTATAACAATGTATTATTATATATAGATATAATATGTATAACATTCTTAGGGAAATGGAAAGGAACCAGAATAACCAAACAGTCCGAAAAAATAACAGACAATTATAGGACTCATGCTGACTGATTTTTAAATATACTACAAAGATAAAGTAAGCAAGATTGTGTGGTATTTGGATAAGGATGGACAGAAAAGTAAACATAAGTGAACTGAGAGTCCAGAAATCTCAAATTTATGGCTGGTTGACTTGTAACAAGAATTTCAAGACAGTCTAATGGTAAAGAATAGCATTTACAACAAATGGTGAGAAAACTGGATATCCACATGCAAAAGAATAAATTTTGGCTGGGTATGGTTATGCATGCCTATACTCCCAACACTTAGGAGACTGAAGCAGAAGTACCAAGACCATCCTGGGCCACGCAGCGAGTTTAAGGTGGATCTAGGCTGTGTAATGAGACCCTGTCTCAAAATCTCAAAAAATATAAAAATGAACTTGGACCCCATCTCTCATAAGTCAAATGGATCACAGTCCAAAATGTAAGAACTAAAACTACAAAATTATAAGAACAAAATATAGGAGTAAAATTTTGTGACCTTGGTTAGGCACAGTTACTTAGAGATAACACCAAGACCACAAGCAACAAAGGAAAAGATGGATGAATTGGACTTCATCAAAATTTAAAACAATCAAACCCAGTGTGGTAGCAAATGTCCATAATCCATCTATCTACTCAGGAGGCAGAGGACAGAAGAATCATGAGTTTGAGACCAGCCCAGGCAAAGTTAGCAAGACACTACCTCAGAAACAAAGAGCAAAAATAAAAGGCTTGGGGTGTGGTTCAAGTGATAGTTTGAAGCTCTGGGTTCAATCCCCAGTACCCCCCGCCCCAAAAAAAGGTTGTGCCATCTAAGACATCATTCAAGAAGGTGAAAAGACCATCTCTAGCAATAAAGGAAATGCAAATTAAAACCACGCTAAGATTCCACCTCACCCCTGTTAGAATAGCCATCATCAGCAACACCACCACCAACAGGTGTTGGCGAGGATGCGGGGAAAAGGAACCCTCTTACTACACTGTTGGTGGGAATGTAAACTAGTACAACCACTCTGGAAAAAAATTTGGAGGCTACTTAAAAAACTAGACATCAATCTACCATTTGATCCAGCAATACCACTTTTGGGGATATACCCAAAAGACTGTGACAGGTTACTCCAGAGGCACCTGCACACCCATGTTTATTGCGGCACTATTCACAATAGCCAAGTTTTGGAAACAGCCAAGATGCCCCACCACTGACAAATGGATTAAGAAAATGTGGTATCTATACACAATGGAATTTTATGCAGCCATGAAGAAGAACGAAATGTTATCATTCGCTGGTAAATGAATGGAATTGGAGAACATCATTCTGAGTGAGGTCAGCCTGGCCCAAAAGACCAAAAATCGTATGTTCTCCCTCATATGTGGACATTAGATCAAGGGCAAACACAACAAGGGGATTGGACTTTGAGCACATGATAAAAGTGGAGCACACAAGGGAGGGGTGAGGATAGGTAAGACACCTAAAAAACAAGCTAGCATTTGTTGCCCTTAACGCAGAGAAAGTAAAGCAGATACCTTAAAAGCAACTGAGGCCAATAGGAAAAGGGTACCAGGAACTAGAGAAAAGGTTAGATCAAAAAGAATTAACCTAGAAGGTAACACCCACGCACAGGAAATCAATGTGTGTCAATGTCCTGTATAGCTATCCTTATCTCAACCAGCAAAAACCCTTGTTCCTTCCTATTATTGCTTATACTCTCTCTACAACAAAATTAGAAATAAGGGCAAAATAGTTTCTGCTGGGCATTGAGGGGGTGGGGGGGAGAGGGAGGGGGTGGGGGCAAGGGGGAAAAATGACCCAAGCCTTGTATGCACATATGAATAATAAAATTAAAAAA